GATGTGGAAAAGTGAATTTAAACAATGCAAAATATATTTTATATATTCAATCATGCCCAGCAATTGATCGCATTGCATTGAGGCATATATTTGTATTTAACATTCATATTTGTCTGGTTTTGTCTTTTATATTGTCAGCTCCTTTGAAGTTTTAATTGCTATTTATTTATGCTATTTATGATCAGGCTTTGGTTTCCTTATTTTACACTAATTTTTCTGTGCGTATGTTGCATCGGATGGCGTATGTTTTTTGTTTTTGTTGTGTCAAATCGAACGTTCTTTGTTGTTCAGTTATTTTCGAGACAATGTTTCTTGTAATTTTTTTTTGTATATACCTTATTAACAGTAAATAAGCCTGGGCTATCATAGCAGATTTCGGAAAAAAAGGATGGAAGGACCGTTTATCAGCTGCAGAACTCAAGAAGATATCTCAAAGTGAGAAAAAAAATAATAATAAACAAGGTTTTAAAGTTTACTAGTCCCAATTAGCTAGATGGAAAAAAGAGATTATTTAACTTTCACTAAGTACACAGACGGTTTTCTACAGACGAGACAAACAATCCTTTTAATCCGACAAAGGATGCACGGTTAAACACGGCTATCGTGTTCGTGTTATGCCGTTTTATTGAAGGATTTTTGAAACGCAAACAGAAAAAGGCAGGACTTACGAGTAATTAGACTGGGCGTACCCAAGTTTAATTTATTAAATCCGAATTAAGTCAAGGGCTGTGGCAATTTATTACGGGAATTGGAATTTTGTAAAACGCGCAGCTTCCTAGGTTTTTCGGTTACGTGAACGACCTCGGACGGCTCGCTCCGCCGATGTTCACGGTCTCGGTTACCGCAGATTTTGAGCCAATTTTTCTCTCGATTAAATGTTTTAAATGTATCTGGAAAAGTTAATCGACAAGAGGCGAAAAGGATCAACAGGTAAGACTTAATGACAGTTCCTTACCTGGAGATTGAACGAAGTTTTGTACGGGCAAAGTCCTACCTCGTCACTTGACGACTTTCTTATTCGTGAGGACTTTCGATTGTTTCAAAACCTCAAAGCTACGAAGGCAGCTTAATTGTTACAAAAAAATAGATTTTCTTTTCAGACCCGTGCCCAAAAAATACGTTCCAGTGTTTGCCGCTCCTCCAAAGAAATACGGTCTGTTTATCTCGAAGACTTTCATTTGCGAGCTCGTGGCTTCGGAAGCATAGCCGCGTGTTCATAAGCGCGTCCACGAATTTCATACGAGCTCCCTTGGTGTAATTTTTCAAATCCTATCCGCTGTCACGCCCTAGTTGTCGGCCCTTATGCAATATTCCTCAAAACAAAGTGGAAAAATAAATACCTCTAGAAGCGTTGGCAGCTGGCGTGATGCAATTCCAACTTGAATTTCTAAATAATTAATAAAATCGATCAACAATGAGACAATGAGTAAGAAGATAAGAAAAAGTCCACTAAAACATGTAACTTGGTGGCTTTTCCGACATTTTGTTCGGTTTTTGTCAGGCTATCATTGTCGTTTTGTACTGTCAAACGTTTCCGTCATGTTCAGTGATAGGTATGTACCTTAAAAAACCAGGATAACATAAAGTAATGATCTTTTACTATCAATTTAGTCTGCCAAACCTCGCTATTTTGGTTTGTCAGCGTTTCACCTTCTATCATCAGTGATGAATCTGTATTGTCAACATCGAACAGAAAAAGGTTGGCCTTTTACAATCAATTTAGACAGCCATTCCTCGCTATTTTTATCAACATATATAATATATAGAACAAGAGAAGACAAAAGGTTCGTCTTTTACAATAATTTTGGTCTATCTTCGCCGTTTTAGCCTGCCAAACCCGTTTTGTCTTTACGGATCTGTCTGATAAATAAAACAGAAGAAGTCAAAAGGTTGATCTTTTACGATCATTGGTCTGACAGCGACTTTCGACTTCTCGCCACCTTCAGTGATGGGTCTGTGTATTATGTTGTCAGAATTGAACAGGCGAAGACAAAACATTCTAATTTTACAACCATTTTGGCTAGACGATAACTAGAACAAAAGAAAACAAAGTAATTTTTTACAACCATTTTTGTCTGTCAATTCATGCTGTGATATGTCAGTGTTTCCACTTCTCGTAATGTTCGGAGTTTTGAAAAACAAGAAAGTGAATGATTGAGTGAGTCATTTTCGATTATTCTGGACTCAAACTACTGAAGACGACGAGAGACCGAAACGGGTTTGACAAGCTGCAGGTCCACTACTCACTCCCTAGACATCTAACCGAAACCTCACAAAATATCAATGTTAATACTTAAGATAAAGTTAAAAAGATAAATGAAGCAGTAATGTTGAACTGATTCACACTGATAATACCTTATTTATTTAGAAATCGTGAGATGCGGTCTGGTGTGATGTAGGTTTCAGAAAAACATTTTCTTTATTGTGCCAACGTTTCGATCTTTATTGAGATCATCTTCAGGGCTCAAAGTGTTTGTCTTCTGTGTAATTGTGCCATTCTTGCGTGTCGTGTCGAGAGTGCCCAAAAAGTCGAGGGTCTCGACACGACACGCAAGAATGGCACAATTACACAGAAGACAAACACTTTGAGCCCTGAAGATGATCTCAATAAAGATCGAACGTTGGCACGGTAAAGAAAATGTTTTTCTAAACCTACATCACACCAGACCACATCTCACGATTTCTAAATAAATATCGATTAACGGTCACTAATCACCACACAAACTGATAATACCCAAAAAATTAACAAAAAAAGTTGACCCAATAAATTGTCAATTCAACATGACTTCAACCTATACCCAAATGGTATGATATATGTTACAACATGATCCATGAGTTTCCTCCACCAAAAATTGTTTTGAAGCAAGTTGGTATATTTCGTTCTAGACGTCCCCTAGTTCATGTTAGTTGGAATTTTGGGAGATATTCTCTAAGAATAGGAATGTATGATATGGCTAGAAAGACTATCTCACTGCGCCCAAAAATATGGAGTCTATTGTGCTCCACCACATATAAGTTATCTCATTATTAAGTTTTAGGCTTTTTATTAGCCTCCATAGCCTAACTGACTCCTCAGTTATTCATATTTATTGGTTTTGGCTTTTCTTTTCCGGTGAGTAGAAACCTTTTCTTTGTCAGGCATTCACAATAGCTTATGACATGTACTGAGGTTTCCTCTTCTTGCTAGAACTTACACAGTCGTTATCTGCCACTTTCAACCAGACCTGTAATGATCGTAAATTGCGTCCGCCTAAATGTCTCTGTCCTGAGATGTTCCTGCGGAAAAGAGCTTTTAATATGATCTATTCGTCAAGTGGTTTTTTTTTATGGCAGCTCGGAATTTTACAAGAGATTCTGGACCTATTGATGCTGCTGACCACCCATTTCTGGCTAGTCCATCCCCTGGGGTACTGACGAGCGACAATTTTTCCTCGATTACTACTTCTCCCATGGTTTCCAAGACCAAGTGAGTGCAGGTTGACTGTCAGAATAATCATTCTTTTTATCTTCGATTCACAGCCTTTTTACCTATTTTCCACAGAAATCAACTGCCTTGGTTTTCGGTTGAAAACCTGGGAGAATTTTTTTTTATTTCTATTTTTTAATAAATACCTGCTCCAATGCCCGTTTGGTTTTTGATCCGTTCGTGTACCAGTAGAGTCAGCGGTGATAGCAACCAATGCTACTCTTATAATTTGGTACAACTTTGTAAACTTTAAACTTAGAAATTGTGCATGCCCAGAACGTACTTTGAACCATCGAATACTTTGAACTGTCCTATAAGCCGATATCGATTCGATCTTGCTTCTCTTGGAAGAAAATGTGTAGAGGTGGTAGGTTTAATAGCATCTCCAGGGCAGCATAGTTCTCATGGCTCCTGTTATACTCAGGCATGCCTACTTCCACTCAGAAGCTTTTACACTACCAACTGTAGAGTTTGTGGTGAACTTTCACCACGCCATTGTTTAGTTTATCGTTGGCACGACGACTCATACACAAATTTATTTTCAGGAGGTTTTTGCAAAAACGATTAAACATTTTTTATATAGTAGAATAGAATATGGAAGAGCATTTGGGTCCAAGAAGGCATCTGAGTTGTCTGTATATCGGTTGTTTTTGGTTTTGGTTTTATGCGCCTGTTCCGTATGTCTGCTGTCCAAGTAGAAACCAAAGTATCGGGTATGGATGACCTTATTGTATATGTGTACTGGTGGACAGGTATTTCTTAAATTGTGCGCAGATCTTGGGTTGCTTTTGCTGCAAGACAAGGGTCAGAATGTGAAGATTGCGGCATCGTCTACGACGTTCGTGATGTGAGTGTTAGGGTGTTCAGTATGTCAGCAGTGTAGTTTTTTTAGTTTAAGAAAACATTTTATTGCAAGATGCTATGTTGCATCACTCGGTCACTACGTTTCAAATTGTATATGGCACCTAGTACGGGTATAGTACCCGATTTCTGCCACGTACAAACAAAATTCAAATTAGAATAAAAAATGGCAAAAAGGAAAGAAAATTCGAAAGGTGGGTTGAGTTGAAAATTGGTGTCCGAGAGGATCGAAGTCACGATAGCTCAAGTAGTTAGAGCAGCGGCGTATTGAGCCGAAGGTCGTGGGTTCGAATCCCGCTCCTGACACTGACTTTTTATCTTAACCAAGACCTTACAAAAAATTAATTAATTGATCAAATTAGAACGTTATTCGTTCATTTTTGGTGGATTTCCAACCGTTAATCCGGTAGTTAGGTTATGTTTTGGAAGTGAATATCTAAGTACATCAGCTTTGAAACTAGGCACCACGATATGATCAATGGGCTTAGAGCTGTCACGATAACGTTCTTGATTGTCTAAAGCAATTTGTAAAGCGATATTAAGCTCGTTTACATCTGTAATTGATAAATCCGTAATGCAATCTCGTCCGCAACCCGAAATCTCTATATAATTTTAACGTACCATTTTGACCTGGCATTTGTTTTAATCTCTTTTTTTTCCTTATCGATTTCAGATCACAATTGTTCAGACTTATGCTGTCTTTAATAGTTACGAGCACGCCTCGTCGCTCCGACTGGAATGAAAATGGGGGAGGATGGTCTTGCAATTGAAAAACAAAAAGGTGGAAGAAGAAGTCGACAAGGAAGAAAACTTTTACCTCGGCCCTCCAGATTACACAAAATTCGGTGAGTAAATCGACCGTTGAATACGGTTTAATAGCACTTTCCCGTTTAAACTTTCGACTACGACTAGGAAAACTACCAACAAAAAATCCACCACTTTATTTAATCAGTTGGCCGGACAGTGGGATACTCGTTACTTCTTTTATAGAAGAATTTACTGCAGGCGTCTGGCGGTTACACCTCGTAATTGCGGCAATTTTCTCAAAATCCTCTTCCTAACGGCCACTAAACGGAGCAGAAACGATAAATATTTTTATAATTGTTGACGTCTCGGCGGATATGGAAGAGATTCAGATTTGACCGTCGATTTAATAAACATTTATTCAATAAACTGTAATAAAATCACGTTTTAAGTGGTCAATAAAGTAATCCAATGAAATTGAATAGATCCAAATCGTGGCAAATAATTAATCTATACATATTTTTATCTCCTAAGCCATCAACACAATATTTAAGCGGGGAACACACTGCGCTATGCGACGCTACCCGATGCTACCCGACGCAAATCCAAAGTTCAATTTTCTATAAGTTTGTATTATCCCCGTGCACACTGCCCGATGCCACGCAACGCTACCCTACTCTACGCTCTGCGATCCCCACTGTCCAGATTTTCGATTTATGATCGGGTAGCATCGAGTACAGTCGAAGACAAAAGAACCGGACACCCATATTTTTATTCAAACTACATGTATTATTTAGTTTTCATTTTAAAAAATGATTTTTAATGGTTTGGTAGAAAATTGATCAAAACAGTGGAATACCATTTTTTGATGTAATGAATTTAACTAACAATTTATTACACGGTTTTGCTCATAAAATTACACCATTTTCGTCGAGTAGCGTCAGGACACTCATATTTTTGTAGTTTATTTCAAACTAAGTATTCATTATATTTTGGGCACTCTCGACACGACACGCAAGAATGGCACAATTACACAGAAGACAAACACTTTGAGCCCTGAAGATGATCTCAATAAAGATCGAAACGTTGGCACGATAAAGAAAATGTTTTTCTGAAACCTGCATCACACCAGACCGCATCTCACGATTTCTAAATAAATATTCATTATATTAATTACAACATTCTCATATTACCAGATTAAACGAGATCAAAAATTCATGAGTTTTTATAAAAATTATAGGGATGGTTAGGCAGAAAATTATTTATTTATTAAAATTATTTATTTTAATTATAATTTATTTAATTATGATGGTTAGGCAGAAAATTGATCAAAACACCGGAATAACTTTATTTAAAACAATTGAATTTAACCAACATTTTATTAGAGGGTTGTGCTGATAAAATTTAACTATCAATTTATTGCATGTTTTTGCTCAAAATAATGCAATAAGAACAAAAGAAGCGTTGCGATTGTGATACTGATTTGTGGTGCACGCTCTGTGACTGACTGTACATGGCGTACGCTTGACGTCGCATGTGCACACCCTGCCAAAACGTAGGGTAGCATCGGGTAAGTGTTCCCGGCTTTAAGAAGGCTTCGTGTCCACACTTTTACCATACCTACTGCCTTTTTTGTTTATTATTGCACTTTTTTTATAAGTTACGGAAACGAAAAGAAAAAAAATTATTTCTTAATTAATTAATTAAAATTAATTTGGCTCTGTAGTTTGGTCATTTTTGATAATCCTGGGCGGAAACTACCAAAGGGTGTCGAATACCTTCTGACCTACCAGCGAGGATGGACAATCATGAACATCAAAACCGGCCAGGCATTTCACCATTCCAAAGACTTCAAGAAAAAACTACTTGTTAGGTTGAATTGTGCATAAAATTGAAACGTACATTTATAAATCAACTTCGAGTCAACTTGCAATTATCAGTTACTGGTCTCGCAACCAGTAGGGTCTTCGCTGGTGGTACCCACGTTTTTGGATTGACCTTGGTAAATGTATGTAAATGTTAAGTTTATCATCATTGAAATATGCTTTACTTTATAATTTGCAGTATTAGTGATGACTTAACTGGTTCTTGGTTGTATCTTGGGTGCACTTTAACTCAAAATACATCATGACTAATCGCAAATATATTGAGAAAAGAAAAGCAGATACAGTCTATAAAAGATCTTAACAAAAGCCAAAATGTTCTTTTGTTGGAGGGAAACAGTTCGATTTTTGCCGCCTGTTTACCAACGAAAAACACAATTTTGTATCAAACGTTTGACTTATCTTCGTCAAATATGATATTTTAAGCGGTATAATACAAATTTTGGCGACAATTTAACATTGGATCACAGACATTGGCCTATTATTTGTGTCAAATACGATGTCCTAATCTGTTCATAACAAATTTCTCCGCCTTTACACAAACGTGATATACGGTTTTGTATTAAAGATTTCACCGATTTACATCATACATCATATCATAGTCTGTAACAACCAATTTTGCCGCGTGTTCATCACTGAAATAAAAGGTTTTGTATCAAAGGAGTGATCGATTTTCGATAATATTTCCAAATCTGTTTATATCAAATTTTGCCGCCTGTTGACGAACGAAATAGTCTAAGATTTTGTATGAAAGATTTGACCAATATTCGTAAAATTTGTCTTAATCTGATTTATATCAAGTATCTTCTTCTAATTTATTTACGCAAATTTTGCCGCCTGTTCACCAACAAAATGTAAAGTTTTTATCAAATATTTGACTGATTTTCGTCATATATTAATACCTAATTTATTTATAACAAATTTTGCCGCCTGTTCACCAACAATAAACATTTTTATGAAATATTTGACTGATTTTGGCCAAATATTATCTCCTAACCTGTTTACAACAAATTTTGCCGCCCGTTAATTGACGAAATGTTAAGTTTTGCAAGAAAGATTACACATATTTCTTAATATATTCTTAATATCCTTATATATTTACAACAGATTTTGCTTCCCATTCACAACTGAAATATAAAGTTTCATATCAAAGATTTAACTGATTTTCGTCAAATATTAACACCTAATTTATTTACAACAAATTTTGCCACCTGTTCAATGAGGAAATGTAAAGTTTTACAGCAAAGATTTCACCTACTTCTATTTTCGTCAAATATCATTTCCTAACCTGTTCATAACAAATTTTGCCGCCTGTTCACAACCGAAACAAGAAGTTTTGTACTAAAAATTAGACTGATTTTCGTCAAATACCTTCTCCTAATTTATTTACAACAAATTTTGCCGCCTGTTAATTGACGAAATATTAAGTTTTGCAACGAAGATTCCACCTACTTCTATTTTCGTCAAATATCATTTCCTAACCTGTTCATAACAAATTTTGCCGCCTTCACAACCGAAACATGAAGTTTTGTACCAAAAATTAGACTGATTTTCGTCAAATACCTTCTCCTAATTTATTTACAATAAATTTTGCCGCCTGTTAATTGTTAATTGTTGTTAATTGACGAAATGTTAAGTTTTGCAACAAAGATTACACATATTTCTATTTTCATCACATATCGTTTCCTAACATTTTATGACCAATTTTGCCACTTTTTCATCATGAAGTACCAAAGATTTGACGGATTTTCGTCAATTATCATACACCAATTTTTTTACAACAAATTTGACCAACGGCATCAAACAGGTATGAAATATTTGACAGATTTTCTTCGAATATACATTCTACCTTTTTTGCAATAAATTTTGCCGCTCATTCATGGACGAACTGATTGGCATTAAATCTGTTGTTTGGCCCATATTGGTCAAACATTACGTCATAGTTTAAAATTGCGTATTGACAAACCTAACAAAAAGAATTGTGTCAAAGTTTCAGACCAGATTTCATCTGAAATACATCGTTTTATCTGAAGCGTAACAATCTTTACCGCCCATTCAAAAAAATGTAATACTTGCTTTAAAACCAAGGCCCTAGGGATATGGTTTTCGTCACTTGTTACGTCTCAACTTGTGTAACAAATCTGTCAGTGTATTAAAAAAACGAATATGTAAAAGATTATATAGTACACACGTAAAATGATTTTCCTAACCGTAAGTGTCATTAGGCTTGTGCAGAATTCACCAAAAAATTATAATAAGAGTGTCGTGAATTTCATAAACCTTGGGATCATAGGTTCAGACTGGTTTTGTAATATTTAACGTTCTACCGTAAGTGCAATTTAGATTTTTTTAAAGAGACGTTGAAGTGACGACTAACAAAAACATAAGCCCGATGTGACATACAATCTTCTAGAGTTACTTGCAGAGATCTCGTTAACAATTCTTATTTAAGCTCCTGCTCAAATATCCAACTTTACGGCGAAGAGAAAGCTCTGGCTGTTCAGTAACCATTTGGCTCAGCAGACGACCGTATTTCCTCTTCACAAGTTCGAGAGCCAAGGGTTCTACGTCTCCAACGAAGATGGGACCGTCAGCCTGCCTCCGGACGTTTCCCTGCAGCCGGTTCCTTCATCGGCCAAGGACAAGGAAGAAATGTTCAGGTTTGTTGGAAGCATCAACGGTCACGGAAGGTTTTTCATTTCCATCTTTTCCAGGAGTTCTTTGACCATCATTCTCAGCTGTGTTTACGCCGTATTTATTGTAACCTTGGGCGTCGTTGTCTATATAGGAGAGCTGATGTCTGGAAAAACTCCCATGGCTGAGGTGGGTTAAATTGTGCTAACAAACTATTTTTGTTTATTTTAAAAAAATGTTTCTTCTTTCAGTTCTTCAGTATTTATCTCGTAATAGTAGGTCTAGGTTATTTGAGCTTTCTTTACATGGACATGAGAAAATATCTCAGAATATTAAAAATAAGCGAGGACATGGTTTTAAGGAAATATGGTAAGTATGATTTTTTTTTTAAATGTAGGGTTGTCACAACAATAATGATACATTTTTACAAACATTTTTATCCAAAAGATTACGAATGTATAGTTTTGACCTTTTGACATGGTTGGGGCTTTATGCCGACTGCAGACAGGTTCGTCTCTTGGGAAAGTTGAAAGCAATTTACCTCTGTGCGAAGGTTTGGTCATACTGCAGACTCACGGTACGGGCAACTTCGTAGCTTGTGATAGGAGCGGTACTGTTCCTGATCTTACCTCATTTGAGGCTAGTTATTGGCAGGTTTTTGATGTTCAGTCAAAACAAGCTAGAATTTAACTTCAACAAAATATATTTAATCGAAATAACTTCCATTACTATATATACATTTTTGCCAATGCACTAATCCCAGAAGAGAAGAAACTATGATCTCTGGAATCGATCAACTCCCGAAATGTATTTTCAATGTCAATCTGGCTTTTGAACCGTTTCTCGCACAAAACGTTGTTGAGGTGTTTAAAAAAGTGATAATCTGTAAGAGAAAGATCCTTTGAGTATGGTGGATATGGTAAAGCCCCTTAACCCAACTCATGCAGTCGTGCCTGAATCCGTTGTGCGAGGTGTGGGAGTGTGTTGTGAAGAAGGAGAGGCCCCTTTCGATTGATGAATGCTGGACATAAGGTCGCAGTTTTCGGTCTGTATCATTAATTTCATTACATAATTATTCAGAAATCGTGAGATGCGGTCTGGTGTGATATAGGTTTCAGAAAAACATTTTCTTTATCGTGCCAACGTTTCGATCTTTATTGAGATCATCTTCAGGGCTGGGGACCGCGGTAGCCGAGTGGTTAGCATGAGAGACTCTCACGCCGCGGTCGTGGGTTCGATTCCCACCGTCGCCTCTGGCCCTTTTTTCCCCGATAACCCCCAATTTGAACACACAAAGAATTCGTACTATGGCTAATATGCAAGATCATAAGGCCAATAAAAAAAAAAAAAAAAAAAAAAAAAATCTTCAGGGCTTGGGATTTACAAACATTGTTTACGTTTAACAAATACATGTAGGATGTGGAAAAAGAGAATTTATACAATGCAAAAATTTTTTTTTTATTCAATCAAAGTACTCACTCAAAGTGTTTGTCTTCTGTCTAATTGTGCCATTCTTGCGTGTCGTGTCGAGAGTGCCAGTGAGATTTTGCTGGTTTATGTTTATATATGTTGGATTTTATAATGGTGGGGAAGGAAGTCGGGATAGAACGACATTTTTATATGCGGAGTCGGCTTCTTTGAGGCGAAAGGAGACGACGAAGGGAAAAAATGTTGGTAATGGTTCGGCCAGATTATGCTTTCAGGATTATATAGAAAGGGATAAATAGGAAAAGGAAAGCTAAATTGTTGAAAAACTAGACTATGTGAAAAATGTTTGATGTGTGGAATGTGAAGTGATGATATAGTTATGACATCTGTATAATGATATTGGCGTAGCTGCGACTGAGTTTACATGTATCTGTTCTGTAGTTGATGCTCTGTTGTTGTAAATCATTTCTAAAAAATTACGTTTATGTTTGTTTTATTCTGTGTGTAATATTTTTGGATTGTTGAAGTCGAAATTGTGTTTGTGTTCAAAATGGTGGGTAGCGAGTGCTGTGGGATTTTGTTTGGGTTTTTTGCAATCATAGATATCTGTGGTGATTAGTGACCGTTAATCGATATTTATTTAGAAATCGTGAGATACGATCTCTGAAGATGATCTCAATAAAGATCGAAACGTTGGTACGATAAAGAAAATGTTTTTCTGAAATCTACATCACACCAGACCGCATCTCACGATTTCTAAATAAAAATCATAGATATGTTGTTTTACTCTCTTGTCCAGATATTGGGATGTAAGACCGATATAAGTTGCCGGACAGTTTAAAATTAGTTTAAAGTTAAATGTAAACAATGTTTGTAAATCCCAGGCTCTGAAGATGACCTCAATAAAGATTGAAACGTTGGCACGATAAAGAAAATGTTTTTCTGAAACCTACATCACACCAGACCGCATCTCACGATTTCTGAATAATTATCGATTAACGGTCACTAATCACCACACAAATTTCATTACAGTTATTTTCAGCTGTAATAGTTTCACCCGGATTGACGAAGCTGAAATGAACGAATCTTGCAGATAACCACCAGACAGTGACCATTATTTTTTTAATGTAAGCTTAGCTTTGAGAAGTGCCCTGGTTTTTCACTCGTATCCAGCCACTCTATTGTCGTATAATATCCCTTTTTCGTCACACGTTACTATAAAAACTGAGAAATGGATCATTTATGTTGCGTGCGGAAAGCATTGAACAGATTTCATACCTGCGATCCTTTTGGCGGTCGTTCAACTCATGCAGAACCCGCTCGGCGAGCTTCTCTGTTTTCCCGACAGCTTCCAGACAGCGAACGACTGCGGATTGGTCAACACCAAGTTCTTCCGCAATTTCTCGAGTTTTGTGGGGTCAATTTCCACTATAGCCTTTAACAGGTCGTTGCCAACAGCAGGACGGCCTTCTTTTCTCGTGAGGTCCATATGCATTACGGAATTGTTGAAACCAACGCTACACTATGGATTAATTTATAGTTCTTTGCCCCCCAAATGTCATTAATGTTTCAAGCGGTTTGCGCTGCATTCCGCCCAAGTTTCAATACATAGAAATAAATTTGCTGAAAATAGCTCTTAGACATCATTTTGTTTGAAAGAATTGAACAGATTGAATTTAATGTTTTTACTGAAAGAATTGTAAGAGAAAGGAGCGAGATAAATAGGCTTTAAAATTATGTGAATCCCTTTGCGGATTAGTCTTGTTTACACAATTCTTAAGAAAACCCTTTATTTTGCATCAGCCCAATATTTGGGAACGTCAAAGTATATGACAAATTACCTGAAGAACTTTATGATATAAATGTTTAAGATTTTTGGTTAAAAGGAGGCCTCTCAACAACGGGAAACAGAAATTGAGTTGATTAAGTTAATCATCTCTCTCCCTCTCTCCCTCTCCCTCCCATTCACCATCCCTCCCTTGAAATCTCTCTCACGCACTTACTTTATCGTTCACTCAGTCTCTCTCTCTTTTTCTTACTCACTCTCTTTTTCTCTCACTAAATGAATCTCCCTCATTCTTTCCATTTCTCTTTCCCTTTTTTAATCTCTCTCTCACTCACTCACTTAATCTCTCTTCCTCATTCTCTCCCATTCCTCTTTCCATTTTGTCTTTTTTTTGCCACTCACTCATTCGATCTCCCTTTTTCTCATTCACTCTCTATCATCTCTCTCTCTCTTTCTTTGAATCTCATTCATTCACTCTCTTCCGCTCACTTAATTTCTTTTTCCCGTTGAATGTCTATAACTCTCTCTTCCTTTCTTTCTTTCACGCCATCACTCACTCTCTCTCTCTCTTTCTCTTTCTCTCCTCTCTCTATCTTCTTTCTCTCGCTCTCTTCTTCACTCCCTCTGACATTGAGCCACATGGTATGAATGCTTGGGCATCTTCACAAGCTACGAAATTTTTAAAAAATCTTTAGTTTATTCTTGTACTGAAAGACATTTTTTTTAAATTGCATACCATGACCAATATATCGGTCGACTTTGCCATCTGCATCATAGTCTATAGCTTTTCATTAAGCTTAAGGCTTTTATCAGATCCCAAAATTTTGTTAAGGTTAATTTTGTTCAAGCCTAGGTTTTTCCTCTCAGCCTGCATTCTTACCAACAGACATTTTCCGCTGTTTCTTCTTCTTCCAGGTAATACCTGCGCAGGCTTGTATCTGCTGCTTTGTGTACATATGTCTTTGGAGCCTTCAGTGCCCAGTACGCAGTCTTACTAATACTACCTAATTCTAGTCATATCATGTTCTATTCCTGCCGTTAGGTTAGACGATACTTTTGAGATGATGGATAAGAAATAAATTGTCTTTTCAACAATACGCATTTATTAAGTCACACACGTTCGGTCTAATCTAGACCATCTTCAGTGACAATAACAAAAGTGGTACAAATTATATTCGAATTATATACAGGCTAATAATAAAGAATATACCAAAATGAATTAGTGACAATTAGAACGGCTTTCAATTTACATACTTTTTTTATATACATAAAGGGGTTTGACGGTTTTTACATACATTTTATAGAATGTAAAAAACCGTCAAGCCACTTTATATAAAAAATATGTCAATTTAAAGCCGGTCTAATTATCACTATTACATTTTGGTATATTCTTTATTAGCCTATATATAATTGGAATATAATTGGTTACACGTTCACTGAAGATGGTCTATATTAGACCGAAACGGGACATAAAATCATGATGGACAACATCAAAAAATTAAAAGGTACTTTACAGAACTTTTCCTCCATTTTCTTTGTTCTGAAATACAGTCCCATTGAACCGAGGACATTCTTAACCCTGATAGATCTACGTTTTTGGCATTCTGGTAGGTCGCAAAAGGATTCAAACTCACAGCCTGTAGGGAACCTATCGAACTTTCCTTGGCCTGTTTATTTGCCTCCATGGTAACGAAACAAAGGTAATTTTGTTGTTTTACCCAATATCTGGCAAGACCTTGATGTAATGCCAAAAGGCTCTGGACTTTATATCATGGAGGTAGTTGCCTTTAGTGTTTTTGGCTGTCCGAGTAAATGGCCTTGAGCCTTTTGATCTCCCTGGTAGCCACACTCTCCACTTCCAAGACAGTGCCTAAGACTTATATGAATTATAGTCCTTGGTTTATTTTCATAGATACCATTTCCTGACTCATACTCGGTGTCAGAGTCTTCTGTATAGGTATAGCTGGCATAGATGGGATCCCTTTTTCCCCAGTCCCAGTCTGATCTATTGACATTAACATTGAATAAGTGCCTTTATTTTCATGACAACCCGATTATCTCATCCCATACATCCTTTAATCTTTTCTCTTCCTCAGAATTGGCAGAATCTCAAGAAACCGATACCGGTGAGCCGGTCTCGATAGTTTGGAATTCTCTTCCCGAGCCGGACTTAGCCATACCTCATCATTACTGTTTCAGCAGCGGCCGCCACTCGGGCAGCTTTTACCTGAAAGTCGGTGCCGCAGGTAGGGTCAACACGCGTCTCCTTTACGATTCAGTTCATCCTTCTCTTCTTCGATTTTCAGGTTTCTGCATGGGCCATCTGATCCACAGCGGTCTACTGATTTCCTACCAAGTCGCATTTCTCATCACAGACTCGAGCAACTTCTACAAATGCGCCAACGTCCTGACCCTAGTTTTAGACTTGCTTTACCCGACCTATTCATTTTTTCAACTCTTTTTCATCTTCAAATACTCTAATGTAAACTACTGCTTTATTCTGATATTTATATTGTTTTTTAATAAAATGAGTTTTCAGGTTATAATAAATAGGTTTAAAATATTAGCAAGGTTTGCTTTAATGCATTGTATCGGATCAAGCTTGTGCTTTTGGATTTGGACGATATTAAGAGAAACCGTTGACTCGCTGTATCACAGCGAGACCGAAAACCCTATCTCTCTTCATCATCTCAACACCCATTATATTATACACGGTATATATTTTTTTTTTCTTTTTTTAAATAAACCTTGTATAAAAGTATAAATCTGAATATACTAGACTTGAACAATTCGTCGAACGTCAGCCTTGGATCACTGACTTCCGAGCACTGCCGAGGGCCGAAGCAGTTTCAAATAATATTCGCCACTTTTTCACCCTACTTGTACCCATTTACAATAGAGTACAGCATACTTGTCGGTAAGTGTAAATTGGTCCAAACGATTTACGAAGAGCCCAATTGGCAATTTTAATATTTTAAAGTCGGGGTGCTGTTCATCATCTGGCAAAACATCGGCTCCTACAGCCACTGCACCTCGGACAGGAGCACAACTAAAGACTTCATATCAAACGTGGTCTTATACGCCGACTGTCACTCGTCGAACAAAGGGCTGTTCGCAGGGCTGATCGTACTTGCGGGGTCATTCCTGAGTATCATACTTTTCTTCGTTGCTATGACTGACAGGTAATTTATTACTGCTTAAAAGATTTTATTTTTATTGTTTACTGCTATTGACGAATTAAATTTGAAACTAGTTTAAAGAAGTAGAAAGAACTTTTTATGCCTGGCCAAGTTACTCGGTACAGAAAGTTCATTCAGCTAAGTTAAGAAGGACTGTCAATTATTAATAAGTAGTTAATTATTTTGAAAAAAGTAAGTAAATCGGAGTTACGTGTTTTTAGAGGAAGAAATTAAGTTGTATAAATTTCCAATGGTGAGTAATAGTTACACCTAATAGAATAGAAAATAGTAGCAAGTGAAGGGCCTCGTGTTGGAGGTAGGTTGATTGTTGAGAATGCGATGATTGTGAGAAATGAGTGTTGTTGAGAGTACCCTTGTTGCTGTAGGTAGTGCTTGTGGCCTGCTCCATAGGGTTGGTTAAGATCTCGTCAACAAAATCCGCGTTAAGCAGGTTGAGCCCCTGCCTTGCGTATACATAGTTGCTGCAAGCTCATGGACTGCAGCATAGAAGGCAAAGCCTTGTTGAAGCAGTGGCGACACCTAGTAGATAATTTATTAACTACAGGTAGTCACCGTACAAGAAATAAACCATTGGAAAGCAATAACATAGTACTGAACACAGAAATTACACAATAGTTCTTGACCGAATGTTAACTTGGAATGCTTACCTTAAGAGAACCAATGTAGACCATTAAACGCACAATGAGTAGGCCAACGACTCTGTGGAAGAACTTGGTGACAAAATCCTAAAATAACCTGCCATACCTTACAATTGTCAGACCCATGATCATTTATGCAAGTTACAAACGTTGAAAAAATTTTACTAGTGTTAATTAAATTTCATCAAAATTACTGACGTCAGCCCTTTCAATCTTGTTAATTCCGTAGAGATTAGCTCCTCTGAGCCGATTAGTAAGAAGAAGAAGAAAAATAACTTTATTCTGAGACTGGTGTCCCCTAAGAATAATTTACATGAAATAAATAAGGAAGTTCCTTCTATGAAGTTAAAAGTAAAAAATAAATAAATAAAGATAGAAATCTTGGCACTATGTATACCAATAAGGCAGGACAGAAGAAAAAATTACGAGAATATTAAACAAAAATAACAAATGTTAACGTTAGGTCTCTGCTTGGAGGGAGAGGAGGTGATTATACAGGTGGGGTTTAAAGGAGGAAAAGGAGGCACCGTGACGAATAGAAAGGGAAAGGGAGTTCCAGAGTTTAGGGGCTCGGATCAGAAAGGATCTTTTGAAGGTATGGGTTGCATGTTGCAAAAGGATAAGGTCGATTGGGGATGAGCGGTTGTTACGAGTGTGATGTGAGGAGTTGAATTGGAGGGATTGGATGATGTAAGGAGGACGACGAGTGTGGATGGACTGGAAAAGAAAGCAACCTAGGAAATACTGTGCACGGAAGGAGGGGAATAACTAGGAAAGTTGGGAATACAACTCCGACACCTGGGATACCCGTGGGGTGCCGTACACAAATTTTACGCAACAATTCATAATACGCTTCAATCGCGCGTTCTCCCCCTTCGAGAGACCACCATATGCCACGCAGCTATAATCGAAGAAGGGAAGTATAAGGGAAGATACAAGGAGTTTGCGGGTGGAGAAAGGTAAGAGAAGCCAGGACCGACGAAACAAGCTGAGGGAGGCAATGGAATGGCGGGAAATTTGAGAAATGTGAGAATGCCAGGAAAGGTTTTGGTCAAAGACTACTCCTACGTTTTTAAACGAGGAGCAGAAGGGAATAGGATGGTTATTTAGCATGAGAGGTGGGATGCTGGGGAGGGAATTGAAGAGTTGCCTGGACCCAATAATTATGGCGGTGGATTTGGACGGATTGAGGACTAGGGAATTTTTATGGGCCCATTCATTGATGGAGTTTAGGTCTTTTTGGGTCTTGAGAGTGGCCGAGTGAAGATCGGAAGGGTGGAAGGATATGTATATTTGGGAGTCATCAGCATATAGGTGATAGTTACAGGGCTGGATGGAGTCGGGCAGATCATTGATATAAATGGAAAAAAGGATAGGAGAGATGCTAGAGCCTTGGGGCACCCCAGATTTTAGAGGGAGGATGTGGAGGTAAGGCCAATGGGAAGGGAGTCAGTTTAGTGGCGATTGGTAAGGTAGGAGTGGAACCAACAGATGGTGCTGGCGGAGAAGGAAAAAGATTTGAGTTTAGAGAGGAGAGAAGAGTGAGAATCGAAGGCTTTAGAAAAATCAAGAAGGACAAGTATAGTAACTTTCCGTTGGTCCATTGCTAAGTGGAGGTCACTGGTAATTTTTATTAATGCTGATTGGGTGGAATATCCTTGGCAGAAGCCAGATTGGAGGGGGTTGAGAAGATGGGTTACAACAACAAGCTGTAACAAGCTTTCTAAAGCGCAATGTAATCAATATGCTTGTATGAGTTAATTTAATGCTCTTAACCTACGCAGGAATGTGATAAAAACATGTATATAGATTATTTACTTAGTGCAGTAACTAAAACAAAATATTACTTCTTGTATTTATTGTGTGTGTTTTACTATAATCTTGTTTCCCTTGGAGGTACCATAAAATTCTGTCAAATTTTATCCTAAATTGTTTTTTCAGTAAATACATCGAAGTCGGACTTTCTGTAAATTCTTGTACTGAGCTGATACTCATATTGTTGATGACAGCCAGTGTCATCCCTGCTTACCATCAGATCACTAAGCTGGACGTCAATTCTAAGCAAATATCTCTACTCGATGACCTTCTTCTCTTTACATGCATTCCAGCATTTTTTGTGCAGACCATACTGAGCGTTATACCTTCGTGGAACTCCAACAAATATGTCAACCTGACTACCATAATACTTCAGGTAAAAATGAAAAATCTTAATATGCTACCAACTATAATTGAATGTTTTCTAGATGATACAGGTATTGATTCAGACACCGTTCATAATCGACGGTTTGCGAAGGTGCGCCAACTCGAAAGCTCTCCGATCCGAAAAGCCAGGACGGGAGCTGCTGACATTCCTTATAGTCTGTAATGTAACGATGTGGATTACGGAGACGTTTGAAATCAAATCCCACTCTGATCACAACGACCCGAGGTCCTCCTACTACGGAGAGTTTCTGTGGTCGACGATAACACACCTCACGTTTCCCCTGACTATGTTCTACAGATTCCACTCTTCAGTCTGCATGGTTGACATTTGGAAATCTGCTTATGTTAAAGGAAATTAACTTGTTTTTTGGATATTTATATTGAATTAAAAAAAGTTTATCACACTTTCCTATTTTTTTTTTTTTTTAAATATTAGTCCATAAAGACAACAGTACATTTATTCACAAAGAAATAGATTCTATGGAAGCTTATGTATTAACTCGGATCAGCAGAAACAAGCTTGTGCAGATAATGCCAGAAAGGAGAAGAAACAGCGAAAATGTCCTCTGGTGGTGTGACACCTGGCATAGGAAAATTCAAAAATACACACAAGCTCAGTTATTAAGCTTCAGTAGTTACTGCCGGCAGTAAACAAGCAGTTCGCAGTAACAACTGAATTTGCTTTTTTCTTCAAGACCATACTTTGATCCAGTGTTCGTGAGTGAAAAAGTGGCTAATACTTGCAATATTGAAAACAGAAACTTTATTAAAAAATGTAAGTTGTTTCTGACATTAGCCACTCCCTTCTGTTTGACAATTAAAAAAACGACGGTTGGGAAGGTAAAAAAATGTGTGCAAAAGGGTGAAGTTGGTTACATACAGAATGGGGCTTAACTTTAAGAAAACAAGATTTTAGAAGAAAATGAGGTCCCAAGTAGTATACAAAGAAATTGACCGAATATGAGGGCCACAAAATATAGGTGCAAAAAAGTAATTGTCACTGTAGGCGGGACAAAAGTGGTTGTTCGTTGAAATAAATGATGTAGATTGTGGAGTGTAGCCAAATAGAAAGAAGAGAGAACTTAAAAGAGGAAAAAACCAATATTGGTCTAGATTTTATCAAAAGTCTAGGAAGGGGATTTAAACAAAAGGAAGAAAAATTAATATTTTTGTTGTGGCCAAAACTTCAATCTGGAATCATAAAATTTACAGATGGATTGAGATTGCTGCTCATGAAGTTCTTATGACGGCAAGATCAACTGTAATCAATTTTATGGTCAATTAATTAATTAATTTTTTATGACAAAGCCATATTTACTAACTGTGTAATTATTTTATCAGTTTATGCTTAATTATATAATACTCAATTAATTATACACAATTTTTTTCAAAATGAAAAATTGTGTACAATTAATTGAGAAGCCGTATTTATTTAATCTGCATATAAATTTTACTGGAGTGAGATAAATATTTGATCGTTTTGATCATTTTCTTTACTTTTTTTTACACTTTGGTGTTCTGGATGAATACAAATTAAATAAACGTGCTGTCTCAAAATCATTATCAAAATTTATTCATTTCAATATCGCAATATACAAATTGAAATGAAGAGTATAAAAGATTCAAGACACATTTACATAAATAATTCTTCACCGTCGATATTTGTCTTATGACAATCACATCACAGCTTGGTCAAATTTGTTCTATCACTGTGATCGCATAACAAAAGCCTTTTTTTTAAGTTGCATATGTTTACATATATTGAATCATACACAATTAAAAACAAAGACATCTTGTTAAAAGTCTTATATTGTCATTATAGTAAAATAGAGGGTAGTTTTTTTTTCTCTAAAAAACAAGGTCCAACTTATATTGTTACTATATTTTTTTAAATCAGTTTTGATACATCAATACTTTTAAGTCTTATACACTAAAAATATCTTTATTAATAAATAGGTATTTGTTTGTTTTTTTGGGTTTTTTCAATATTTTTTCTTTTTAATTTAAAATCTGTTTACAAACTTCAAGCTTGAAATGTCCAAGCTGTTGAAAATAAGGTAAGGCCTTAGAAAAGATAGGATTCCAAGTGAACAAGGGAACCACGTCTTTCACAATTTTATTTTTGAACTGTCTGCCTAAAATTTAAAAACTTTTGTGACTGATTACTTCCTCTTTCTTATTTTTTACACATTTTATTGTTATCCATTGGTGAAATATTAAAAAAAATCGACAAAATTACTAACTCTAGTAAGTCTATAAAAACTCATTCAGTCACAATAAGAAAGAAAAACTAAACATCTATAAACAGTCCTTTTTTTACAAATAATAGAAACATTTAGGACTCTTCACAACGATTTGAGTGATTGAAGGCAATTATGGTTTTTTTGTCTTAAATTTTACAGAAGTTAGATTATCTAAAAAAAATTCTTTTTGCAAACATTTTATTGTTCATTATAAAAAGTACTCTCAGCACAATTTCTTTGTTTTTACACCAATATATATATTTTTTTTTACTAGAGCGTAGACAAAGAAATGTGATATGGTGTTGATTTTTTTCTCTATTTTTCACAGATTGATGTCATATACACTAGTACAATAAAATTATTAAGAAATTATTACAGTCATCTTCCAAAAAAAAAAACTTATTTAAAAAAAAAGGACAGAATTTCTAAATAACTGGGCCATCTGTCGACAAGCAGTATGGGCACTTAATTTGGCGAAAATGAAAACATTTGGCCATGAAGTGTCTTTACTTGTTTGCAAAAATGAACAAAGGCAAAATGTGTTTGCCTATTTGTCTGTCACGAGCTCAAGAAGTCAATTGAAATTGCCAAGTTGCTTAACACGAATTCTTTGCTTTAGTGTGTCAAAAAATCCATTTTATATCACAATCTGAATGCATCCCAAAAGAGAGAGCTCCATGGCCAAAAGAGATTGCTCGACAGCTTCCGCTCGCGACAAACAGCCCATTTATAATTGGCATTTGAAGATCACATCTTTTTCTTTAGAATTTTACACAATTTACTGGAGATTTCCTCAAACGCTTAACATTAACATAACATTATTTTTTCTGAACACTTGGTTTTGTTTGTTTTTTTATATATTGTTTATAACTATAAGTAAACTCGTGTTTTACGAAGTTAATCAAAACACGGGACGATACGCTAGATTGAGCGGCTGTTTCGGCTACTCACCTTCTTTACAAATTATTATAAATTAATAAGGGGAAATTTTATTTTGTGTTTATTTGTAAAAAGATTTTAATGAGCAACTAACACAACAAATACATAATTGGCAGTGTTCAATTGTTATTTTTAAAAAAAGTTCAATTCACAAAGTCACATTTTGTGTTTTTATTTTATATTGTACAAAATCTAGAACAATCTTCCTAAAAATACTCAAAAAATACAAAAACTCAAAGGGTAAAAAATGAAAAAAGAGTATAATTACAGACTCTTCGTACAATGACAAAAACAAAACGCAAATAAATATGGAAGCAATTTAAAAATACAATGTTAAAAATGGACAATAATTCTAGAGATCATTAGATTGTGTTTTTTTCTTGATAAAGAAAAAAAATTAAGGACTAATTCGTTTTTTAAGACATTTGCTAATTAAAAACATTATATTCTTCAAATAAGCTAAATTGTTTTTCATTTAAAAAAAGTCAGACAAATGGCACATGGAAATCAAGTGGAATTGTTACATTTTTAAAATATGCAGTTCATTAAAAGGATTGTCTTTTTATTATAAAAGAACATAAAACAAACATTTATGACTTATTTTTTGCCTTAAAGTGTAATTTTAAGTTGGGAATTTTTATATTTTTCTTTACACAAAAATAGAAGTACAGACAGGCAGAAGACTGTTAACAACTTCCAAGGCCATCCTCACTGATACTATCGCACGCCCACCTCTTGCTCGAAAAAAATATTTCTGAGAGATGCGAAAGTACCTAATATCTAAACCTTCATACAAGAACATTTATATTATAAATAAACAATCTAATTAAGTGTGTCCTACATTTCAATGGTCCTAGGTCGTTCTTTTTATCCCTCAGATTGAAAAGTGATTCCCCAATCGAAAACAAGTGGACACAAACTCTTCAAAGCTTTCTAAGACATCTAATCATAAAACCTTTCCTATTCCTGGCTATTTACAATCATATGCTAACCGTTATTTTTAATAATAATATGCTTTATGTACAAAATTTTTTCTAGAGAACTCTGGTTTTTTCTTGGTTGTTTCCTTTCTTTTTTCATTAAAAAAAAGTTTTAAAATATAAAAATTCCACGCCAATAATCATCTAGAAAAAAAACCTTCATTTCTACACTTTCTCTAGAAGCGCTCTACAGCGACTTCATCTTCTCTTCACCTCTTTCTTTTATTTATTTATTTTTTTTGAAAAAACACGGGCAGTGTAATATACAATGTAGCTGGTTGTCAAAGCCAAATTAAATCACTTAAAAACGAACTAAACATTTAATGAGAGATAAGATATCTAAAAAAAATTACTTAAAAATTATTTTTTTAATATAACTGTTCTGAGAAAAAAATTTAAACGTGTACAAAATGTCATTTAAAAACGAGTATGTTACGGTGTTTCTAATGAAATAAAACATGTGAAATCAGTCTTTGCCAAATTTGAATACTAATGCTCACAGTTCAAGGGCTCTTCTATCTCGGTTGGCACATTTGGTAATTTGGGAAATTCTCGTTTAACACTTGGAATGTCATTTCCTTGGCTGCCGTATGACAATAAAATCCAAAAGCCGAGTTGAAAATTCAGTCAATTTTTTATTTATGCTGCGTAAATGAATAGAATTATGTTTTTTTTTCTCTCTAGTTCGCAAGCTTTGTGAATTTTACTGCTGGACCCAGCCTCGATTTGCTATTCAATCTTTATTTCTTGCATTTTCTGAGATCATTTATTGGTCGATAGGCCCTAAGAGCTTTATTTTTCACACAATTTAAAAAAGAACAAAAATAAGAACTTTTGAATCACAAATTTTGTCGTGTTTCGTGGTTGGGCATCTTCACCACTACAATTTTTTTTAAAGGTCAAAGTGAACAAAAGAAGAGATAAATCCTGATAGTTCAAAATTCTTGGAAAGATGTCTAAAAGTGGCAGTGTTATGTACAAAAAAATCATTAACTACTTTACAATTCCTTAATATAAAAAATTAAGAATAAATTCATGTGTCATATTTATATTGTTTTTTTTTTATCTTATTTACACACAAAATTGATAGTTTTAAAAAAGTTAAAAATGTATTTACTATATTGTATTTTTCAAGTAAACTTTTTTTTTTGCTTTTTTTCAATATCTTTTTTACTATTTATTTTCAATATTCACACGAAAAAGACGATTTTTGTTTCAGGAACTTAAAGACAACTAACTCTATAGGACCTACTAATTTCATTTCGTTTTTTTTAAACATTTACAATATTAAAAAAAGGGAAAACAAGATTTAACAATTATAAAACATGAGAAAACTAAATAACGATAAATTCATTTTTCTCTTATCTCTTCCACGCCACTAGTTTTTAAGTCTTCTAGCCTAAAAAAAAGAAAAACCTCCGCTTGCAGATCCAAAAAGTTACATATTCAGTATAAAAATTTTGTACTTGATGTCAAGATAAAAATTGAACGCTTTTGTTTTTATTATTATCATTTTGGTAGAATTTCAGAATGTCTTTTGAAAATGCATATTTCATTAAGAGGGGCGAATATATGGATATTGAGAACTTTCTAGAAAAGAAATTCAGCAAATACATGGGAAGTAAGTGGTGAACAGGCTTTACCGTTTTATCTTAAAACTAGTCAGTCTTCTAAAGAAAGCATTTTCTCAGCATTCGTTACAATGAGTTTTAACAGTTAAAATGCCGTTTAGCAGCACTTATTTGTTCACGTTCTCAATATAAAGTTCCTATAGATATTATATTTAAAAATAATAATGATAATAAAAATAAAATAAAAAATAAACCTAAAGTTTAAAAAAACTCACTATAACGTGCTTAATAAAATGCTCATTATTAATTAATTAGTATACTTTGTACTGAATTTAAGCCATGATTTGCTGAATTTATTCATTTTGTTTGTTGTTTTTTTAAGAAAAAAGGCCACTCTTAATGAAAAACGACTTTACAGAATCATAAAAGCATTTAATTTTTTCTTCTTGTAATATTTTGAAAAACAATGGCGAAGATCACGATGACGACTTTGAGGCTTCTCTCAGCTTCCGAACACAAAACTGAATGTCGGGAAAGATGTGTACTTAGTACTATATGACGAGACTTGATACTTATATCATGTAGCGTTGGCAGTGGTCTGCTTACGCCCCGTCCGAATGGGGCGCAGCCTCTGGTGATTATGAAGATATGAGTTTAGGCAGTCTTTACTCTGAACAGGCAGTGATGGGATTTGAACAGTCCTTGTCATTTCAACTCGTTCCACACTCACCCATTCATCGCCCAGTCTGAAAAAAAAAAAAAAATCTATGAATTGACAAGTTTAAGAAACATCGTTAAAGTCTTACAGGGATTATTGTTTAAGCGAATTTAATCATTCTTTAAATTAAAGTAACAGTTTAAAGCACGGGCATGCCGGCATGAGAATAAATTGAATTTTGTACATAGGATAAGTAATGGTGTTGGCAAAGGGGAGTCTCGGTGATGTATCAGCAAATCAAGATTGGGAGAACGGAAACAAGAGGGAAGGACATACAGGAGTCAGTACGAACAGACTATGTTATGAATCGTACTATGTGGAGAGTCGTACTGGTGGCCATTATGCCTGGCCTGTTTCAGTTAGAGTTGATAGCGAACCTGAATGTTAAATTTTTTTGCGAACATTATATCCTCCCCTTTGTCAAGACCTATTAATTATAAGTAGCTATTATATATAGTTTAAGGTAAGTTTATACAAAATAAACCTAAATTTTCTCGTAATACAGCTTTCTTCATTATACTAACTTAAATAAACCCCAATTAACTTTAAAACTTAGTACATAGTAAATAATTTAAAAATCATATTTTTGCTATTTCTATTATGTATTTAATCCAAAGTTATGTTGTGCGTTTTTAAAGTTTACTTGGGCATAAACAATTGTTGCCATAATTTTCATTTGCAACAAATCACACCTTTATAATTATGTAGTATGAAACACAAAAAATATTTGAAAAAAATAACAGCATGGTAAATACTTTTTTAAATAAATTGATTTATTCTGGTAGGTATTGTAGGTTGTGGTTTTAAACTTTCAAACTGTTTTAAATGTTTTATCTAATTTTATTAGAAACTAAATTTTATCAATTCTTGTTTCTTCTTGATGTCCTTTACTTTTTTAGAAAGAAGAAACTACTGTTTTAAATGTTTTATCTAATTTTATTAGAAAGTAGGTTTGATCAATTCTTGATTCTTCTTGATGTCCTCTGCTTTTAAAAATACAATGTTAAAAATGGACAATAACTCTAGAGATCATTACTGTTTGTTTTTTCTTGATAAAGAAAAAAAAATGAGGACTAATCGTTTTTTAAGACATTTGCTAATTAAAGACATTATATTCTTCAAATAAGCTCAATTGTTTTTCATTTAACAAAATTAGACAAATGGCACATGGAAATCAAGTGGAACTGTTACATTTTTTAAATGTTTTATCTAATTTTATTAGAAAGTAGGTTTGATCAATTCTTGTTTCTTCTTGATGTCCTTTGCTTTTTTTTTTTAAGAAACTTCACGGAGCAAAAAATGTTTAAAATTGTATAAGATTTGAAAACTGATCAAGAAATTCATGCTATGTTAAAATCTGTCGATTCTGACAATAATTTTGAACTCGTTAGTAGACGTTAGACGAAGATGAAAATGGCGAGCAAGGTGATGCTTGTAAGTCTAAAACTTCCAACACTTAGTAACTATAAAAATTTATAATTTTATTTTTCTTCTGTTCATAAAGTTTTATGTTGAAAAATAAGTAATATTTTTTGAAATCCCTAATTTTGATATTTTTGTTAAATCATATGTAGGTAGTTCTGTACGCATATATAATATATTTATTACATTAGTTTTATACTTTTATTTTTATTATTTTATATTAAATAAATTTTGTATAAGGTAACTGTTTTTATTAATAATTAATAAAAATAACATATTAATATACAAATAATAATTAATAAATAAAACAATTGTAATCTAGTTTCATTAAATTGTTTGTTTTATAACATATATTTTAATATGTTATTTGTTTTATTATATTGTTTTTATTAATTTGTTGGTTTTTTTGTTTAATGCGTGTTATTTGTTTTACTAGTTGTTTTATAATAGAAGTATTCTTAGAATGGTCCTATGCATAATCATTAACTTAATTTGTTAAGTTGTTTATATTATTTTTAATTGCCTATATAATATATTTATAGTATAAATATAACTAAATTATATTATTTAAGGACTAAATAGAAAAATTATCACAATTTCAAATTCTAATTTAAGCAAGTACACATTACACATACCTTTTACCTTATTGTATAGAATTTGTACATAGGATATTATTTTTCTACACAGAAGCAAGCGTTTGCCACTCTACAAAAATTTATTTAATGTTATTGAAACATTTTCAAGACAGCCGTACCAACAGACGCCACATGGAGCTAGGTCAGGCCAAGTCGAAATGGATCGGGACGCAGGTATAGTTTATGGCCGATCGGCCTACGCGTTGAAAGTGTTAATTGTAAGAAGTGTTAAGTACAGGACGGTTTGTAAATAGAATAAATACTACTGAATAAAATAAATCTCAGGGAGCAACAAGTTTCATTTACCCCTAGAAAATTAGAATTAACTAAATTAGAATGGAAAATGAGCTGAATTTATCTTTTATGTCTCAGGACCTAAACTTCTATAAGAAGGGCACAACTGGGCTAGTAACGCAGGAGAAGTTTATAGATCCAAAGCGATTATTTTCCTGAATAAAATATTTCTATATTAATTTTAATTGGGACAATTATTAAACTCAATTTGCACAAACGTTTTTGGTTTACCTCATTACCTGGTAATTAGTGTATTATTTTACTTATTTATCAAATTAAAAATTAAGAATTACTTACATGTTATTTGGAAACCACCTAAGTAACACCTGGGCTTCTCCGTTGAGATCAGTCCTTTTACCCATGACCTAAACAAAGAATTTTTTATAAAAATATTTTGCATAACTTAATCGCAAAAAAAAAAAAAAATATTGTAAACAAACCTTGCTTTGGAGAATTATCGAGTCACCGGGACATGTGTCAAATTGACCCTGGGTCCTCTTCTCAGTCATTTCGATTAAGTTGTGCTGCAATCCTATCATAATTCCGGCGTCGAAGTAGTCGTAGATCCTCGCTGTTAAATTTACAAGATTAAATCATGTTTCTAATGTAAGTACGTTTTGTTAATAAATGGGGCTCACCAGAGAAGGGCTGCCGGCGGTATCTCAGCTTCTTGCCGTTTCTCCTTATCAGCTTGTTGGTGAGCTCGCAACCTTTCTTGGACTCCGTTTTCTGATCCCTCTCGGTGAAGTGGTTGTTCACATGCCTCTGTAGAAGGGTCTGTAAAGATAGATAATATTAAAACCTGTTGCATTAAAAAAAAAATTGTACTATTCTAATTTCTTGTTGCTTACCTGACTACTAAACCTCTGTCCGCAGCCGTCAACGATGCATCTGTAAGGTTTGTTCCCTCCATGCGAAAGGACATGCCTCTCGAGCCAGGTCCTGGAGCAACTCTTCCTCTCGAATACCTTGCAATCTATCCACTGGCAAACAAAGTACTCCCCGAGCGTTTGCGAATTTACATGCGTAATCTAAAAAAGTTAATTTATTAGGAGAAGTGCTTTTAAAAAAAGTCAAGATAATTCAAACAATTATCTCTTTCAGATTCACTTCACGAATAACAACAATAACAATAATTTTTTTCAGACAGACATGTAGATAAATATTTATCTGCCAATAATTTTTTTAAAGATATTTTTTATATATTTCCTATTAAAGTAGCATTTCCCCAATTGAAATTTGATTTAATATGGATAATTAAACTCATTAATTATCATGATGCCTTCTTTGCTATGGAACCTCATTATATATTGTTTACGTAAATTCGAAAAGCTTTTAATTCCAGCAGATTTTCTTTGTTTAGGGTTAAAATGTAAATAAACAAAGAAAATCTGCTGTAACTACAAGCTTTTTGAATTTACCTAAACAATACATCATGATGCCATTTATTTACAATTTTCGCATTCCTCACAAATATAGATGTGTTAAAAAATTTACAAACCGGAAAAAAGCATATCTTTTTTTAAATTTTTACCGTTTTATTTTTTTCTTAACCATCCCCTTTGTATTTAGTAAAAATGTACTTACCTTCTAGCCAATCTGTTTTTTATTTTAATTATTTAAAATTTTCAATAATATTATTTGTCATGTCTGTCCTAAAGTTAACGTCCTAAATAAATACATAAAAACCATAACCGTTTTGAAATTAATCTTAAACAATCCCGTACTTTAATAAATAGAGTGACAAGATTACTTCTTCAATGATCAAACTGTTCCAATTACTCTAAAGTTTTATAAATCATATCGTGATTTAATAAAATAACGTCACCTTGAGTTTCTTCATATTTTGCTGAGCTACTAATTAGAAATTGACCCCAAAATAATCCAATGATAATGCTTATAAATTACGGTAATTCCTGATGGAGTAAAAAAAAATGAAACCATATGGTTGTCATCGCCCTTTCAAACTTAAAACTATGTGAAATGTTTCTGAAAAATTCCCTACCCTTAATCAATGATTAAGATAAGCAGGAATATCTTATGTTCAAAATCTAGAAAAATTATCTTCGTCTCAATATTATCAAGGAAATTAGCAGTTTATTTTTTCTGGACCAATCTTCAATTTAAGTTTATTTCATTCATTTTAATGTTGAATTATGTAATAAGATTTTTCACTGTACGTGTGGTTGTTTTTTTCTTATTCCCATCAAAATGGTCATTAGTTTATTTATTTTGACCAAATAATTATATTATCGCTTCTTGATTTTACAGACATGTATTTCTCAAATCACAGAATTTAATAATACTTTGATTTTATGCATCTACCAAGAACTAGTTAAATCTCATAAGGACTGTTTGTTTTTATTTTAAGTAAATCATTGTCATAATTTATGAAAAATAATTTTTATGTCAGTAGTATATTTAATGTCTCGTATTTATGGTTGTTTTTTTTTTTTTAATTTCCATTATTAACTTACATACTAGTTTTTATTGCTTCAATTGCTCATTGCTTAAAGGGTAAAAACACCAGATTAAACAGAAACAGAGAATAAAATTAGACAACGCTAAACAGAATCCTCCTTATAATATAAACTGTTTTTCAAATCTTCACTTTTACCAGGATGGTATTTTTGGTATTAGAAGCTGGTACTGTACTTCCAGTAGAGCATTGGGTGCTCGTGACAGTATTCTTCCGACGAAGAATTGCCGCCGAAGAACGTCTTGCAGGGTATTGTCACCGTTCTTACTTGTAGGGCTTAATCTCTTGTCTAATTGCAAGCCTGCCTGGCTTAATCTGGTATTTTCTTTCTTTTTTTTTTAATTATAATAATAATGATTTTTTATATATTTTACAATTCAACGATACTGATGATCCTAATCATTAAACATGTAACCGTTTATTTTATTATGATTTTCTTGCAAACAAAATATGATGAAGTAATCTAGCTTCTTACATATCTTATATATGCATTGCAGCATCTCAAGTATGTGGTCAGCTCTGATTGTTGGATTTATTGTCATGTATGTCATGTATGTTGGTGAAATATGTCCAATTTTTGCCTTTCCTGCTCTTTGGTGTGAGTCAAGATTGCTTGTTGTGTTTATTCCCTTGTTGATAGTTATTTGTAAATTTCAGTAAAAATTGGGCTTTATTCATTATTGGCTTTCCGTTTATCTATGTATGGTGTTAAGTTTGTGACAGAAATTTGACCAGTTTGAATTTATCTTTAAAAATAACAGAGGCATAATGGAGAGAAGAAAAAGAGAAAAATCGTGGCAACAAGTGGCAGAACAGTCGCTGTTCAAAACTAATTCATCATACATTGCTGACAAAAAAATCATCAAATTTCCTTATATTATTTATTTATTACGTGAATCGGGAAGGATTGATTCTATTAACCACTCGTTCAACATGCATAAATAATATATCTTTGATTATATTTTTTTGCATGTTTCTGCTAATATTTATTGAACTATGACTAGATTTCTTTTCTAATTTATATAAATAAAATTTAATAATTTAATTAATTATTAACTTTATAAATACTTGCTTATCATGGATAATTTTCCAGGTTTTCATGATTAATCTGTAGATTTCACATTGTTTCAACTTTATTTTTTGTAATTAGTAAAAAACACTGTTCTCTTTTAATTTCACTTTTTCAGCTTTTGTTTATATTTGTACAACCTTAATTATTTATTTATGAATTGTTGTTCTTACTAATTTCTCAAATTTGAATTTTATATTTCCTACAGTGCCCCCCCCCCATGATAGAAAAGCGGTTTTTTATAATTGACTGACTGTTCACCCTTTAAGCATTGAGTTGTAGAAACAAATGCCAGGTTTCCACTGGCAATGAGGTGGATTATTTGTGAATTATCTTTTTATCATATCTATGTAGTGTATCAATGAGGAGGACAACACTTTCGATCCAGCAACAAAAATACAATGGCAAGAAAACAACCATCTCTCAGTCTGAGTTGTGTACCCTCTTGTATTGCAACAGATTTGTTGGGAACAACGCTGAATTGATACAGAACAAAGCTAGGATACGAAGGTAACACAATAACCCTCCTTCCAATAGGAAATAAATCCTATGTTAGAAATCAGGAAAAAAAAATTCTGTCCTAGCCCTCTTATCCAGGTTTGACAATTGTCGCTCTTCTCATTCGAGCAGGTTCTCTTGCCGATCATAGCTGAATTCCTTGCCAGCATGCCACTCCCATCAGCTACATATATCCTCATTGATATATTGTTGTCATTGTAATATTTATCATGGTATCATTTATCGAAAAACTCTCAACTATTCTCCCATCTTGGTTTGCCAAGTTGTGATGTTGCAAGTTTTATCCTCGTCTTATCATAGTTATTAAATATTATAACTTTTTGGATTATTGTATAATAATCCATTAAACACCTTCCCATGCCAATAAATGAGGTAATTTAGCTTAGTCACTTAATATAATGTATGAATGATATTTTTTTCAGATAAACATCATGACTGATTTTTTTTTTTGTTGTCATATTTGGTTTTTGAACTGATGATTCATTTATTTCATAATTGTGCTCATTCAGTTAATGCTCCTAACTTCTGCCAAGTTACTCTCAATAATACATTTAAAAAATTTGCCCCATAAAATCCATTATTTCATTGGAGTTTTTCTGTCGGACAGGTTTTTTTTTTTTTTTTTTTTTTTTTTTTTAAATTGTTATCAATATTATTTTTCTGAATCAGAGTAACTTATAATAGTTTATGAAAACTGAACCGATGTTTTCATAATAAATCAGCATTTGCATCATTTTGGCTGTTTTTTAACTGATTTTGTCGGATTCTAACATCAATTCAATAGAAGGGCATGCGTAAAACCAAACTTAACACTGGCAACAATAAATTATGTTTACCTGTAGGTGTTCTAAAAGGGCGGATGTTGTATTGAATTTGGCATCGCAATCCGTCCACCTGCAGATTACGTCGGAGACGTAATGTCCTCGCCATCCGTTCTTAAGAGGGAACCTTATGGTTCTCTCCTCCTTTTTCTCTTTGCTGTCCGTGCTCCTGTGGAATAGGTCGGAGACGGTGTCAGTCTGAGAGGAGTCATCTTCTTTTTTCATAGAGGTATCCGATGACGAGGAAGAAGACGAGGTCTCAAGCGAGGTCGGACTAGGCTCGTCCTCATCCTCTTCCCTGGAAGATGGGGGCGTCTCGAGGAAGTCGGGGCCCTCCGAGGGCGACGCCGGGAGAAACTCAGTCACACTTGATTCTATCAGGCTCATCTCCTTATCACCATAAGCTTGCTTCTGTCCTTGAAACAGCTTCTTTGTCTTCGACTTGAAATATTCAGTTATCTTTCCCTGCTTCGGCCTCTTTGAAGGAGGGTCTCCGTCAGACCAGGGCCAAGTCGGCTGTGTCTGAGTAGGTGGCATCTCTTCAAGTGAGGTCGTCGACAGCGGAGAGCACGGCTCTGTTATATCGCTGTTGCTCGAACCGCAATCTCCACAGTGAACTGCCACTCCACTGAAACCAAACAAATGACAAAAATTATTATCAACTTTATTTCCAGGATATTATCATGGCATTTTGATTGTGCTTTCTTATTATAAAGACTTATCTAATCATGTGTATAGAACAGAAAGTTGCTCTAAAACCATCCCACTGTTAATTAACTGAACTGCTATATATAACTTGACTTTGGAAGCATAATTCACAATTTGTACAAACTCATCGGAAATTATCTGTCTAAGTTTTAAACACAAATTTATTTCTTCCTCTATGGCAAAATGTTATTTTAGAATAGTTGTTAGTGTGGTTAATGTTAATATGGTGGCAAAGGTTAAAGTACTGAATACAATTAATTCAGAAGAAGAAACATACAATTTTATTCCTTTTTGATAAATCATGAAAAATCAATAGTTCACAAAAGTAGTAGTAACTGGAACATCAGCATTAAATGCAACCGCCTGGGTCATGCTCAGTAAGCAAACATTGTAGTCAGTATTATTTGGAAACCGTGAGATGCGGTTTGGTGTGACATAGGTTTAGAAAAACATTTTCTTTATCGAGCCAACGTTTCGATCTTTATTGAGATCATCTTCAGGGCCATGGGATTTACAAACATTGTTTACATATACAAATACATGTAAGATGTGGAAAATGAATTTGTACAATGATAGAAATTTTAGACTCAAAGTATTTGTACTCACTCAAAGCGTAGTACACAGAAAACAAACACGTTGAGCGAGTACAAATACTAAAAATTTCTAGCATTGTATAAATTCATTTTTTCACATCCTACATGTTTTTGTATAATTTAAACAATGTTTATAAATCCCAGGCCCTGAAGATGATCTCAATAAAGATCGAAACGTTGGCACAATAAAGAAAATGTTTTTCTAAACCTACATCACACCAGACCGCATCTCACAATCTCCAAATCATCATTATTGACAGTCACTACACACCACACATTGTAATCAGTTATGAATTTTATGCGTTTTAAACAGTTCAATGTTATTTTAAACCCCCAGTAGTAGGGGAATACTGCTTAAAATAAAAAGAAAATCAAGATTTAATCTTATACTTTTATTCATAAAAGTCATTGCATCAGGGATAACTACGATACAATGTAGCAGGTCAATGAAACATTGTGTCAGCGGTTTGATCATCCCTGATTTCTGTCACAATCAATAAACATTATGAAACCTTGCAACAAATACAACAACATTGAAAAAACCTTGCAAACCATTAATACAAAATCACTTTTCACTGAAAACAAAATCAAAACATGTTTTTTGCTCTACTCCTCAGTGATTAGAACTTGTATTAAATAAAAATACAGGAAAAATGAGTTATCAAACTTAAAAATTGTTGATTCATCCATTTATCAGTAATATTATTTGATAATATCAAATGGTACGATTTGGTAAAATTTTGTACATCGATCACCCCTAACAAACTGGTTTGGTTGAGCTTTTTTTTATATTTTTGTCAAATATATCAACAAACAGACCAGTTCGCAAAACTTTGCATGTGTACATGTTCATTTCCTAAAACTTTTTCAATCCAATAACTGTTCTTTGTAAGTTAGAAATTCGATAACTATATACTGCAATCAAACTTCAGAATAATACTGTACTTATTATTAACAGGCTAGAAAATATGCATTTTTCACATAATCTCTTTTTATGGAATAACTATGACAAAACGGATTCATCAATGAAACATTTCTTGGTGGTTTGTTTCTGACGAACCTTTTTGTGACATGACTTATCTGTACATTAAAAAATAAATAAATAAAATAAAAATAAATAAAAAACATTAATACAAAATCTATAGGGTTTGTTTTTTTGGTAAATTTATACGGCACAGCACAAGCAAATTTGGTCAAAACAAAATTAAACATGATGCAGTTTTGCTGTATACAATTAAAGCTTCCATAACAGAAATAAAAACAAGGTAAGATGTCATTCAACTTTAAATTGCTGAAGTTTGACCAAAGATTGATCGTCCTTAACAAACTTGGCCTGGAAGAACCTTTTGTACATTGGACATAACTGCATAAACAATGAACAGACCAATCAACATTTTACTTTATGAGTAAAACAAAATTGGTGTTGCAATAAAGTGAAAATACATTATGGTTTTTGGTTACTTGTAAACATAAAACATTTATATTACTTGTAATTTTTGATCCCAATGTTCTGACGAGTAAGGTTTTTAATTAAAGTTATGAATTACAGATAATAGTCTTTTCATATGAAATAAGTATGGAAAAATTGTATTGGTCAGTGAAACATTCGTCAGCAGTTTGTTCGTTCCCTACCAAAACTTAAACATTTAAAAACCTTACAGGTCAATAATGTGATTTTTTTTCTGTTGTTGTATGATTATACTTTTATGTACAGCTCTCTTAAGAAGGCATTTCTGGTTCAAGCTGCTTGAAATAAAAATACAAAAATAATAATTCATTTAACGTGAACTTGTTTATTACCATGTTTTAAACAAAAGGATAATTTTATGACATTATCAATGAAATAATTACAAAAATTTTTTTTTAATGAATTAAAAACTGGCCTGCAATTAGATCAGCTTTCCTGGATGAGACTTTTTTCACATAGGGCAAACATAAATATTCAACAACAAACAGGCCACTTAATTTTCCGTATCATTATCACTGAAAGCAAATTTTTATATTTAGCCGCAACAAACTGAAAAATGATCCCTTGTGTAACTTAAGCCTAACAACAAAAGGATAATTTTGAATCACCACACATTTGTAACAACAAAACTTTATCTTTCTGATCACAATATTGCTCCCTATAACAGACTTTTCATAGAAATTAAATATATGACACATACTAAATGTTTGCCCACGAATCTGGCCTGAATGAGCCTTTTGTTGTATTAGACAAACCTAAAACGTTGTTGTGTTAATATACTTAAAAGTATATGTCTATATTATCACAATAAACTGAAAACATGGTGCTTAATCTAAGCCTAACAAAGACTCTTAAGTTACTTGAAATTTTTGTGCTCAATGTTCTCTATAATAACAGACTATTCATAAAAGTTATATATATCACACATAATTATCGTTTTATATGGGATAAGTAAAAAAAAAAATTGTGCTGGCTAGTTTGATCATCACTGAAGAACCTGGCTTGGATGAGCCTTTCTTTCAGATATGACAAACCTAAAACTTTGTCGAGTTAATACATTTAACAACATCTAAACGAGCCACATCAAACCAAAAACATATTATGATGCTTTGTTGCTTAACCTAACATCAGAACTTTGATGTTACAATCAATTTTACAACTAATGCTCTCACTAATAAACTGATATATGAGAAATGTATCAAACATAATTGACATTTAACATGGGATGACAAAAATGTATTGGCCAGTTGTTAACAGTTTGATTGACCCTGACAAACCTGGCCTGGATGAGCCTTTTTTTCCCATTTGACGAACTTAAAACTGTATATACTTGTAGTATATAAACTGAGTATAATTTAACAATTTAATGCAGTTGTCCTCCATTAGAGCATAAGTGTTTCAACCAGCTGAATACGATCTAAACTGCTCAAAAATGAATAGGGATATTGCCAATTTTGTAGTATTTAATTTCCCTAGCATTTTTATTTTATTTTTATTATAAATTGCATCAAAAATTATTAGAAATCATTGTTTTTCACTGAAGAAAATTTAATTAAGGGATTTTTAAAAATAACAATAATAAAAGGTTTTAATTCCAAAATTTTGTTTATTGGACACATATTTTTTTAAACAATTAATACTGTGTAAATGTCATCTGTTAGCTAAAACCTTTGTGCACCTGTTAAGCATACTGTTAATAAGGTTGTCAACAATTTCCTAAGGAATTTCACTCCATAGATGTTGCAACGCTGCACTCAGTTGTTGCAGGTCAACTGAGGGCGGGTGGTTATCGAACAGCCTTTTCTGCAAAGCACCCCACATACGCTCAATGGAATTGAGGTCTGGAGACAATGGGGGAAGGGGAAGATGGAAAATTCCCAGGTTTTCTAAACACTGATGGACGACTTTGCATCGGATCTGGCATTGTCATTCAGAAATTGAAAAAATGAGATCCCTGGTTTGAGGGATGTATTCCTCGATAATTTCTTGGACATAACGAACTGCAGTAAGGTTGCCTTCAACAATATTGTGTCCAACTCCTTCTCCAGTGTAAATCCTAGCCCAGACCATTACACCACCTACTCCAAACTGCACTGAAGGGAGCACGAACTAAGGCATTGTATGCATCCCCTGTTCTTAGTAGATGCTTCGGCACCTGCTATCACTATACTGACAGAAACACGATTCATCAGTAAACATAACACCATTCTAATTAGTGTCCACTTCTAGGCACTCACTGCACCATATTCTTCTAAGTTGCTGATGACAGGCGTTGTTGCAGGTCGCCTCAAATGATATGAGGCCAACTTCCCTCAAATGATTATGAATTGTTTGTGTTGATAAAGGCCTTGCCAAAACACAAATGATTACGAATCGTTTATGTTGATAAAGGCCTTGCCTAAACATCATGTACTTCATTTAGGATCTGGTGGGCACTATGGAAAGGGTTCCGCCTTGCAGCAATGACAATATTAATGTAAGGGAGTTCAGCATCGTAATTCATTGCGAATCACTACCAGGCCTCCTATTGGCACTTCTAGTCTCTCAGAATTGGGCTAAAGCCCTGAAAACCATGCTTTGAGAAACACCAACTGCCTCTGCGATATACACTTGCCGGTGATTTCGATGACTCATTCTCACAATAATATTAGGAACTTCTGGTTGAAGATGATGTCTTTCCATGGTTAAGAAGAATACAACTGGATTGAATTGGAGAAAAGATGAGAAAAAGTGTTTGTTTACAAAATGAATAATCTTGTTTACAATTCTCAAGTAAACCCGTTATTAAAAATAAAGATTAACATTTGTTTGTTTTTGGTTTGTACTTTCTATTTTGTTTTATCCAACTAACAAAAATAT